GTGAGAGGGTGGTGGGGGAGACACCGGCGAGCGGTCGGGGGCGGGAAGGCTGAGCCGGCGAAGAGCGGAGACCGGCGGCGTCGGCTGCGGCGGCTGCTGCGGCGGCTCGTGCTCGACCCGCGGACCGACATGGGCACGACGGCCGTTGGGAGAACACTCAACAGCAGCACCCCCAGAACCAACACCCCCAGAGCAAGAACCCCGTCCAGCACCGGCGGCACCCCCAGGCCCGCCGTGACAGACCACACCAGGGGCCGCAGGACGAACACCCTCCTCAACGCCAGCACCCCCAGAGGCCAAGAGCGGCAGCGGCGGCTGTGAAAGCGACGGCGGCTGTGACGGCGGCGGCGGCGGCTGCGACGGCGGCGGCGGCGGCGACGGCTGCGACAGCGGAGGCGGAGACACCGGGGAAGGGGAACGCGGCAAGGACGGGCCGAGGGGACCACCAGAGTCAGCAGACTCCTCAACGGGGACAACCGACGGGAGGGGAGTGACATGGGAGACACCAGACGGGGCAGGACGAGGCGGGAGGGGAGCAGGGGCTACCGGGAGAGAGGGAGCCAGGAACAAGGGGGGGGGAACCGGGAGACCTCGGTGAGGGAAGGGACGGTAGAAGAAGACAGACTCGTCAAAGGTGACGTCACGAGAGTGAAGGAAGCGGTGAGACTGCAGGTGGTAGAACAACCAGTCAGACGAGTCCAGGGGGAAACCGAGGAAGACACAGGGGACGGTGCGGGCAGTGAGCTTGTCTGTGCCAGAGGTACGAACGTGAGCAAGGCAACCCAAGACGTGAGCAAGGCCCCCTAACCGGCCCTCTGGCCGTTCGCGCCCGCTCCTAGCCGGCCCCCTGGCCGTTCGCGCCAGGGGGCCGGCTAGGGGGCCGGCTAGGGGCGGGCGCGACGACCAGGGGGGCCAGCTAAGGGCGGCCGCGACGGCCAGGGGGCCGGCTATGGGCGGACGCGACGGCCAGGGGGCCGGCTAGGGGCGGACGCGACAGCCAGGGGGCCAGCTGAGGGCGGGCGCGATGGCCAGGGGGCCGGTTATGGGCGGACGCGACGGCCAGGGGGCCAGCTAAGGGCGGGCGCAACGGCCAAGGGGGGCAGCTAAGGGCAGGCGCGACGGCCAGGGGGCCGGCTAGGAGCGGATGCGATGGCCAGAGGGCCGGCTAGGGGCGGACGCGACGGCCAAGGGGCCAGCTAGGGGCGGGCGCGACGGCCAGCAGGCCGGCTAGGGGCGGACGCGACGGCCAGGGGGCTGGCTAGGGGCGGACGCGACGGCCAGGGGGGCAGCAAAGGCGGACGCGACGACCAGGGGGCCGGCTAGGGGCGGAAGCGACGGCCAGGGGGGCAGCTAAGGGCGTGCGCGATGGCCAGGGGGCCGGCTAGGGGCGGACGCGACGGCCAGGGGTGCGGCTAGGGGCGGACGCGACGGCTAGGGGGCCGGCTAGGGGCGGATGCGACGGCCAGGGGGGAGGGGGCCAGCTAGGGACGGGTCACGAGGGCGGCTAGGGCCTAGGGCGGTAGCGTGGGCGGGCGAGAGGAACCGAACCTACTCATGATACCATGTTAGAAAGAGAGAATGAATGGACTAGTTTGAGAAACCTAGAACATGTACCTGTTGGGGTTGTACTCACTAGAAGCACACACCTAGGCTAGCCTATAACTTCTACATACAGCATATGTATAAGTTGACAGGCACCAGCGTAGATCTCAGCCTTACAGATAGACTGAGCAACAGACGACGAACGAGTGGACCGCCACGAGACAGCACCTGCACCAAGGCTAAAGCAGTAGCTCTGAGAGTACTGGAGAGTCTCTGTGTCGTCTGCCCAAGAAGCGTCTGTGTGCCCGGTAAGGACCACTGGTTTGCGTCCTCCTAGCATTAACCCCAAGCCTGATGTACTTGCTAGATGACGCAAAACCCTCTTAGCTGCCGACCAGTGCTATGGTCGGTGTCTGCCGGTGGCCACAAAGCAAGCCAGGATGATAAGAGGGTATGCGAGATCTGGACGAGTGCAAGTCATCAAGTACATGAGGCAACCCACCAGCTCTGCGTAGGGGCCACTAGGCTCTACACCCTCCTCCAAAACTGGAGCAGAGAGACTGTGGTCTACCGGCAGAAGGGTGGGCTGTGCGGAAGAGAACTGAAGGCCGAACCTCTGAAGGACCTGGCACACCAAGTGTGACTGTGAGAGAGTGATGGTGTGCGCTGCTCTGTCCCTGGAGATCTGCAAGCCAAGGTCTCCTCAGCAGCTTGGCCTAGGTCAGTGCAGGTGTGTCTCCTCAGCAGCTCGGCCTTCACGGAGGCCAGTGCGTCTCTGTCTGCAGTAGCAAAGACCAGGTTGTCTACGTAGATAGGGATGTAGAACAGAGTCTGGCCGGAACGGACGACGAGCGAGGGGTCTGCAGATGATGGAAGGAACTGCAAGTCAGCAAGTGTAGCACGCAGCGTGTCGTGCCACTCACGGGGCGCGTGTCGCAAGCCGTAGATGGGGCACCGGAGGAGCCACTTGATACCAGAGACGAAACAGGTCGCTTAGGCGAGTGAAGCAACGAGTGGGGGTATGGTCGATCTTACCGCACACTAGGTCACGGCGAGGACCAGTCTGGAGCTGGTACTGGCAGCGCCCGTCACTCTGACTACCACCCGACGTTACGCCGCGTGCACGACCACTGCGACCACCGCCACTGCCGGCGCCCGGCCACCTGGGTGGGGGACGGCCGACCCGCCGCTGCTGCTGCTGCGGCTGCTGGTCCTGCGGCGGGGCCTGCTGCTGCTGCTTCTGGGGCTGCTGCTCCGAGGCACCAGTCCCAGCCCCCTCGGTAGTACTACCAGCGAGCGAGGCACCTCTACCACCGCCATCAACCCTCCTCCGCTACCTCCGCCGCGCCCAGCCTTGGGGCAGCGACCCTTACTAGGACGAAACTGCGCTACGACGGCTGTCTCCGCAGCAGGAGATGTCTCGGCGATAGCAGCAGAACCGTCGGAGTAAGTGCACTAAGCTGGGGCACAGCCCTGAAAGATAGAGACCGGCACGATACCGCTAGATTGGGCGATAGAGCGCTGGCAAGTCTCTGTGGCAGACAATGTGTCGATAAGTCAGTGAGCATGAGGTCAACGGGGTGGAGACTAAGGAAGTGATCGCAAGCGGTGGCAAGACGGTCAGGGAGGCGGGTGGCAAGCAGGTAGAGGGAAGAGCAGATGGGGGGCTGAAACACACGAAGCTGGGCCTCAGTGCAGGCAGCGCGCCAAGTCGTGTCTAGCGTGCGCAGGTGGGCGGCCAGGTGAGCGATAGTAGGGAAAGACGCAAGATCAGGAAATAGCATGGGCAGGATCAGGCAACCGACGGAGGCAGAGGGCGGGGTGGAATAGCGCGCAACAACAGCCTCAAGAAACTCCTGCGCAGTCCTAACCGACCTAAAGCGGGGGCGCTCGCACAAGGGGAGGGCATGACTAATCGCGAGCTGTGTGACAGTGTCACGCGATAATGAGACAGCACGAGCAAGGGCAGCGTGGCAGCGGTCTCACGGTTAGCAGACGTGGGGTCAGTGGGTAGAGCAGCAGGGGGGTTAGGGCAGGGGAGCGTACCGTCGATGTGGACGGCTAGGGAGTGGCCGTTTTGCCGTAGGCCAGTCAGGTGGCGGCGGAGGTCGACGGGCCACGAGCCGAACTCAACCGGCTGCCCCTCCGCATCTAAGTGCAGGATGATCGTGATCGTTGCAGCAGCAGAAAGGCAGTACTGGGCTGTACTGATCGACAGAGTGCGGCTGGGAGCAGTGGAGCGTAGTGCAGTGCGATTCAATGCAGTAGACGGAGGTAGAGGGAGGTGCGGTACGGTAGGGTGCAGTGTAGTGCGGTGCAGAGCGGTGCAGTGCGGTACAGTGCGGTACAGTGCGGTGTCGGGCGGCGCAGTGCGGTACAGTGCGGTGCCGGGCGGTGCAGTGCGGTGCCGGGCGATGCAGTGAGGCAGCTACGAGCCGGGGCCGTGGGCGGCGAGGCGACGGGGCCACCTATGCGGGGAGGGGACGGGGCCGACTAGGCTGCGGGCCGGCTAGGCGACGGGGCAGGCTGGGCAACGGGGCCGGCTAGGCGACGGGGCCGGCTGGGCAACGGGGCCGGCTAGGCGACAGGGCCGGCTGGGCGACGGGGCCAACTAGGCGACGGGACCGGCTGGGCGACGGGGCCTGCTAGGCGACGGGGCCAGCTAGGCGACGGGGCCGGCTGGGCGACGGGGCCGACTAGGCGACGGGGCCGGCTGTGCGACGGGGCCGGTTGGGCGACGGGGCCGACTAGGCGACGGGGCCGGCTGGGCGACAGGGGCAGCTAGGCGACGGGGTCGGCTAGGAGGCGGGGCCGGCTGAGCGACGGAGCCCGGGGCGACGGGGTCGGCTAGGAGGCAGGGCCGGCTAGGCGACGGGGCTGGCGAGGCGGCGGGGCCGGCTGGGCGACGGGGCTGGCTAGGCGACGGGGCTGGCTGAGCAACGGGGCCCATGGCGACGGGGTCGGCTAGGAGGCGGGCCCGGCTAGGAGACGGGGCCGGCTAGGCGATGGGGCCGGCTAAGCGACGGGCCGGCTAGGCGGGGGGGGGGGGGGGGGGGCACTAGGGGACGGGCCAGTACGGGCGGGAGGGGAACGGAACGGCTAGGACCTAGGGCGGAAGCGTTAGCGGGCGGGGGGGACCTAGTCTACTGATGATACCATATCAAAGTTAACGAATGACTAGAAAGGTCGGATACAAGGGAATATAACCTAGTGGGTTGTACTCTATAAGGTACAACCCTATACAGTGTTACTAACATGCAAAGATATGTTTAGCACTATTTTCCAAATAAATTCAATTTTAGTATCTCTCAAATTTTACATTGGACATCTTCATTAAAAAAAGTGCTGGGGAAAGAAAGTCTTCAACATATGCAAAACAAATTTGGATACATACGCAACCCATCCGACAATTTACGTCAAGCCTTGTTTTCTACTTGAGTGTCACTAATTCCACAAGACTTTAAAATAATAATGAAATATGCATCCTAAGATTCGGTCTCCCTCATAACAAACAATGTTTCAAAGCAGAATATACGTAACCATTTATTTAACAAATGTGCACACATATTGGCGCCCTATGCGAATATGGGCATAACTACTACAGAATCAGCAGGAACCAGCTGTACAGAAAGAGGCTAGAAGCCCCCGCTTACGTACAGTGGACGAACTCCACTTATGCTTGCCCTAGCACTACTCTTGCCATAGGATCCCGCCATCGGTAGCCGCGTAGCCGTTAGATCCACTGCGCAGCTCAAGCGTCGGCCTTCCCTGGCATCAGACGTCGCGTCGTCTTGAATCTTCCACTTGAGAATGCGTCCCTGAACGCCGCTCTTGTTTACTCCAGTTACGCCCGTCGTAGCGGATTTACCGGCTTTACCAGCCTCCCGATAAGGGTTATGATCGAAATTGGTGTCTGGACGGAAGGAGGTTTCGGACTGTACCCTGGTCAGGTCCGCGGCACAGCTTGAGGTGGTACTTGTCGACCACGCGGCGAAATCCTGGTAACGCGGGCTCAGCAGATCGTTAGCCGTCTCGCGTGGCGAAAGTTGTCGAGGGGATGGCGTGATGGACGAACAGGGCGAGAGAGACGGAGTGGTGGATCGAACAGCGCGGGGTGACCTAGGAATCCCCGCGGATTGAGGGTTCCGCGGGATGTGAGCGACGGTTTGCAGCTCCTGCTTGACCTGCCTTGGCTGTTGCTGGTGGTGGTGGTGCGCGAATGCTGCTAAGACTTCTCGAGTGGATGTATCAATTGCTAGCGACGCTCGGCGAGGGATCATGGTCGACGATTTCACGAGGTTCAGCGACCCCGTGAAGCCACGGAAATTGTCGCTACCCGATTGCGATGGCGACGTTTGGCGAAGATCCGGCGAGGAATGTTCGGGGCTGAGCGGCTCGCCACGTATCGACGGCGCGCTTGCGGAAGACCTGGTGCGCGGGAACCCGCTGAACGCTCCGTCGTCGGAGTTCCCAGGGTCAGAGCCCCCCATCGAGTTGGTAACCCGATGGAGGAAGTAACTGCTGCCCGATCGCAGTAGTTTCTCGGCGGGGAGGTTTTCGCGAGCGGAGGTGAAAGAGCCGACGGCGAAGCCTGGATGCTCTTTCATAATGTCAGATACGCGGGTTCTTTCCGTAAACAGCTTGACCCCGCCGTCAGGGAGGAGGAGCAGCGCCGCTTGCGACATCTTGAAGGCGTTGAGAGCACTCTGAGAATCAGGACTAACCGCTGGACTTTCGAATCCAGCTTAAAGGAGGTGAGGTCGAGTCCTGACTAGAGCGATGTTTGTCACTGATTGCGATAAAAGTACTCAGCTCGTCTCCCACAGCTGGAGAACAGAGTGGACCTAAGACGATATCCTGAAGAGAGATCGTGTTTTGAATGTCGCAATGTTCCCCAAGCTGACGGAGTCACGCAGATTTATGGACAACTCTGATTGACAGCTGTGAAAGTCTTTGAAAACAGCTTGATTGTATACTGTTAGAGACTAGCTCAATTCACACGACCTGTGGGGGCAGCACCGTCCAGCGTCGCTTACCTTGGATCTACGAGTCTGAAATGCCAAATCGGAAACGGCGACACGCGTGTCGGCTGGTGACGCTACTGAGTGCAAGAAGGAGCCACGTCGTCCCGCTTCGTCACCGCCGATGCACTTTCTAGCTGTCCCACACGCAACCGCTGAAAGACCACTCAAAAAGGCCGAGGCGGTAATGTACAACGTCGTTTCGAGTGGAGGCGAAGAGCCCGCGTGTACTACAATTTTAGGAAGCGGCGACACGGTATTCCTGGGGGAGGTGGTTGCGCTTGCGCAATACATGCACCAGCGAATCGCCTTGTAAAGGGAAACAGGTGGCTGGAAGGCAGGACAACAGGGGCTGTGGCAATCACAGCGTGCATCTGGCGTTTGCGAATGTTCCAGTGACGGATGCGAAACTTTTCTGTGGTGGAAATGCAGCAACGTTACCAGCAAAACGAAGTGCAGCAGGCGGCTCGCGTCGCGTACGTGGGAGTCGAGCAGCCACACAGCAACCGCGTTTGGGTCAACACCGTCCGATCCGTTACAGGACCACGTCCTCCAAAGTCCCATTAGCCAGAAGGTGCACATCTAGGTGCTCAAGCAAATCGAACCTACTAATAGCCTTTACCAAAAAACAAATGGGCACTTCATCTATGGGTTGCATTCATGTTGTTTTCGTCCCCTTTCGCTTTACTCTCTCGCCAAATCACAGATGTCGCATGTATACCTTGGAAATGCATCGCTGCCAACCTTACATCTTCGACACTCCTGCTGCACTCATCGCCTGTCACTCTCTCCAAGCTCGTTCCCTTCACTCACCTGATTTAGCCCCCACCATGCCTGCATACACATCTTTCGATTTTTACTGTGTGACTGGATAGTTACCATGCTTCAAATTTGAACCAATCAACTCATAAAGGCTTTCCACGACCACGTAGTTGGGGGACTACAACACATTTAGCTGAGAAATAGCCTAGCTTCTGCTGCCGTCAATCTGCCTGCAACATGACTAGTTGACGAGCTCCACATGGGTAAGTGTCTCCTCATTTCGAACTTGAAGAACAGTCTGGTGAATAATCTGTCAACGGGGTAATGCAACCAATTACACAAAAAACAGAGAGAACATGGTATATGATTGTAGTTTGAGCCATGGAAACAAAATACAATCAGAACTACAGTAATGGCATCACTTTTTCACTCGTCATGCAACTTTAGGCATGATGATTTTCAAAACTACTGGTAACTCATTACACAGACAAGTACCATAGCACCCTCTATATACACTATACACACACCCGGCCATTTGGTGGTACTAGTAAGGCGATGTGCCTATACTATTATGGTGCTTTAAAAGGCTTCGAATGCACATAAGCACACACGTACAAATGCACCCTCCATATACGCACCTCCTGCACAATAGGAGGATCCCCATTCTAAGGGAGGATACCTCGGTGACTCCCGCACGATGTGGTGTGACTATAACGATATCGTGCTTCAAAAGAGGCTTCAAGTGCACACCTATATCCACATGCACACACACAGAGGCACACATGCCCCACCGATATACACACCTGTGCCATTCTACGGTGGGACACCTCGGGAGTGCCTGCAACACGCCCGCAACACGCCCGCAACATGCGGATTGACTATAACGTTACGACACTGCATAAGGGGATCCACATACACTCACACCCCCGTACACACGCACCCCCCATATACGCACCTGAGCCATTCTGCGGTAGGACACCTCAGTAACGCCCGCAATGTGCGGTGTGACTATAACGTTAGGGTGCTTCAGAAGGGGCTCCAATGGGTCAATGGGCTCTTGCCACGCCACGTCAATCCCAAGGCCCGCCAGCGAAACCGACTCGAGCGCTTGGTGGATGGAGGGGTAGTGGAGGAGACCCCCTCTTGCCACGTTGATCAAAATGGCCGACTGCAAGAGAAATGGAGAGGGGGCAAGGGGCAAAAAAGGGTGGATTCCAATGCTTATAATTTAGGTGCCTCCAAGATAGACATGGATTCCAGTCATGCATTTCAGCTCCTCCAAGATATACATGGATAGACATGGATAGACATGGATAGACATGGATAGACATGGATATACATGGATAGACATGGATATACATGGATATACATGGATATACATGGATATACATGGATATACATGGATATACATGGATATACATGGATATACATGGATAGACATGGATATACATGGATAGACATGGATATACATGGATAGACATGGATATACATGGATAGACATGGATATACATGGATAGACATGGATATACATGGATATACATGGATAGACATGGATATACATGGATAGACATGGATATACATGGATAGACATGGATATACATGGATATACATGGATATACATGGATAGACATGGATATACATGGACAGACATGGATTTAGGTGCCTCCAAGATAGACTCCTCAGTCATGGATTCCAGCTCTCGTGCCACGCCCTGTCAATCCCAAGGCCTGCCCGTGAAACCGACTCGAGGGCTTCAGGATGGAGTGGTAGTGGGGGAGACCCCCTCTTGCCACATTGATCAAAATGGCCGACGAGGGGAGATTTTTGGGGAGGGGGTGTAATGGAGTGTGCTTTTGAGTCGACTCAAAGACGTGATGGAGAGTGTACGAGTAATTGGTGGTGGTGGCAGTGGTGTGTGAGGGGGGGGGGGGAGGGGGGGAACGGGGCGCATAGAGACGCTTCAGCGAAAGCCTCTTCCTTCCAAGATTTGATTCTTTTTTGCTGTGAGGAAGCCGGTGTCGACCATCCCACTCCACAGAGAGCAAAGCCCCAGCCCTTGCACTGACTTTGAGTTTAGCTGGGAGACCCCGACCCATCTCTGGGACATCCCACTCTGCCTGGCCTCCAATACTTGCCTTTTTCATCACTGCGAGGAAGCCGGTGTCGAACCATCTCAATCTGCAGAGAGTAAAGCCCAGCCCTTGCCTAAGCTTTGACACCAGTTGGGTGGGACACCAACCTGTCTCTGGAACGGCTCAGAGCCAGAGTCTTCTTTCCAACACATTTGAGGCGCCTCAAAAGCACTTGAGGCGCCTCAAAAGCACTCTGGAACGACTCAGAGCCAGCCTCTTCGTTCCAAGACTTGCCTTTTTCATCGCTGTGAGGAAGCCAGCGTCGACCATCCCAATCTGCAGAGGTGTAAAACAGAGTCAAGCCGAGGCAAATAGGGTCAAAACAGAGTCAAGCAGAGTGAACCAGAGTGAAGCAGGGTCGAGCAAAGAAGCCCAGCCATGAGTAAAGAAGAACCTAAGAAAGCACAAGCACCGGCTGGGAATCTCCTCGCCCCACCGAATATTCTTTATAATTCTCAGTCTATGAGCAAGGCACGAGCAAGGAGATGACTTTTGAGTCGACTCAAAAGTCAAGGAGGCCTCAGGGGAGATAAGATTCAACGGGGGGATGTGACTCAGAACGACCCATGCTCAAAGGAGCGGAGAGGGGAGAGCATGGTGACTTTTGAGTCGAATCAAAGGTCATCTGGGCCGAACAGAAGTGCCACTGAGTCCACCGCCACCACTTGGGATGACTTTTGAGTCGACTCAAAAGTCACCTCAAATGTCCCAGGGGAGAAAAGATTCAATGCTCAAAGGGGCGGACGGAGACCATGGAGCTTTTGAGAATTCTCAAAAACACCATGGGCCAAAACACCATGGGCCAAAACACCATGGAGCTTGCACTGCAAATAACCGAAGGTGATTTTTGAGTCGACTAAAAAATCACCTACGGATATTGTCACACGAGACATTCGAAGACCCGCGTGCTATTATCGCGTGGAAACTTCCGAAGCGTACCGGAGATTTTTTAGTTTCAGCTAGAAAGTGTTAGGTGTAGCTACACTTCTTCCATTTTTTCTAGCCTAGAGATTCGGACTCCGAGAATTCCCTCGAGCCGCATCTTGGCCTTGGGAAATTCGCGAGCTCCTGCCTATTTAGCCTTGCTCATTTGCTCTTGTGTGTATGGTCTGATGAAGGCAGCCACCTGCCGAAACTAGTTACCATCACTTTTGCCCTACAAATTCACGAGAGTTTTTCTCAGCAAGAATTTTCTCTACAAAACAACAAGTGTTTTACAGCCCGCTGCCACGTATGGCTAAAACCACCACCAAGTGGTGTTCTCTCAAATAACCGAGTTCGCACTGCCAGCTCACACAGGTGAGTTCGCACTGCCAAGCTCACACAAGCGAGTTCGCACTGCCAGCTCACACAGGCGAGTTCGCACTGCCAAGCTCACACAGGCGAGTTCGCACTGCCAAGCTCACACACACGAGAGCTCATCACTCTTCAAGCTCACACACTCGAGCTCATCTCACTACAAGCTCACACACTCGAGCTCATCACACTACAAGCTCACACACTCGAGCTCATCACACTACAAGCTCACACACTCGAGCTCATCACACTACAAGCTCACACACTCGAGCTCATCACACTACAAGCTCACACACTCGAGCTCATCACACTACAAGCTCACACACTCGAGCTCATCACACTACAAGCTCACACACTCGAGCTCATCACACTACAAGCTCACACACTTGAGCTAATCACACTACAAGCTCACACACTCGAGCTAATCACACTACAAGCTCACACACTCGAGCTCATCACACTACAAGCTCACACACTCGAGCTCATCACACTACAAGCTCACACACTCGAGTTCATCACACTACAAGCTCACACACTCGAGCTCATCTCACTACAAGCTCACACACTTGAGCTAATCACACTACAAGCTCACACACTCGAGCTCATCTCACTACAAGCTCACACACTCGAGCTCATCACACTACAAGCTCACACACTCGAGCTCATCACACTACAAGCTCACACACTCGAGTTCATCACACTACAAGCTCACACACTCGAGCTCATCTCACTACAAGCTCACACACTTGAGCTAATCACACTACAAGCTCACACAATCGAGCTCATCTCACTACAAGCTCACACACTCGAGCTCATCACACTACAAGCTCACACACTCGAGCTCATCACACTACAAGCTCACACACTCGAGCTCATCACACTACAAGCTCACACACTCGAGCTCATCTCACTAAAAGCTCACACACTCGAGCTCATCACACTACAAGCTCACACACTCGAGCTAATCACACTACAAGCTCACACACTCGAGCTCATCTCACTACAAGCTCACACACTCGAGCTCATCACACTACAAGCTCACACACTCGAGCTCATCTCACTACAAGCTCACACACTCGAGCTCATCACACTACAAGCTCACACACTCGAGCTCATCACACTACAAGCTCACACACACGAGCACTAGGTGCAGTTGCAGACACACACGCATACAGATTTAGTTACAAGCTCTTCCCTTCCCTCGCACTCCCCTCCTTGCACCTGCACCTCCTACCATGATCGTGCCTCCCCTCCTTCCACATTACAGTCACATCCCCTCCAGTCAGTCACATCCCCTCCAGGCTATTCAGTTCAGTCACCCCCCCCGTTACTAGAGAGATAAAGCTTCATGCGCATCCTCGTCCCATCTTACAGTCTCGGTTGTCTGCTGGCAGCACAAAAAGACAAGGTCCGCCACTGGCAGCATCCCCTGGAGGCTCTCGGGACCCCCCCACTCGTCCAGCAGCCCATCTGCAGTGAACAGTGAACAGTGAAAAGTAGGGAATGAACAGTGAAAATGAAGGGTGAACAGTGAGAAGTGAGCAGCGGACCATGGACAGTGAACAGTGAGCCGTGAACCGTGAACTGCGCACCGTGAACTGTGAACTGTGACATCGATCTTGAGAGAGAGAAAATCATTCACTATTCACTCTTCAAATATCGATCTGAAAGCAATTGGGAGATAATCCCCTCCAGCACTCAAGGACAAAAAAAAAACACATCTGATCATCCCACACACTCCATCCCAAGATTAAGCCTCCCACACACTCCACTCACCCGCACTCTACTCACACACACAACACCCTCTTCTCTCTCTTCCCCTCTTCTTCTGTCCTGTGCGCTTGCCCACTCGCCCACTCTTCTTTCCCTTTACTTTTGAGTCGAATCAAAAGTCACCCCAAACTTCTGTCCTGTGTGATCGCCCACTCGCCCAGCTCTCCCTAGCACTTGCCCACTCGCTCCTCTTTCCCATACCACCCAACACACGCTGCACATGGCACACGCTGCACGTGGCACAGGCTGCACATGGCACACGCTGCACGCAACACACCCACCTGGCTGGTCCTTGCCTTCGCCTTTCCTCCCATGCACGCCCGCCCATCCCTTTCTCACTCCCCCCATCCACGCCACTCCAAGCATCCGTACATTCCCTTACCTAAGCCAGCTCACACATCACCCACCTGGCTCGTCCTTGCCTTCGCCTTTCCTCCCGTGAGCGCCCGCCCAACCCTTTCTCACTCCCCCCATCCACGTCACTCCGAACGCCCGCAGCCTTGCAGCAAGTGCCTTTCCAATCCCACCGTAGCCCACTATTAGCGCCTGGAAGGGGGGAGAGCAGTGAGAGGAGGGGAAGGCCCCCTTCCCGGTTCCGCAATGGGGGAGAAGGCCGTTGGTTCTTGCATGGGCCCCAATCCTGCAGCAAGTGCCTTCCTTATTCCGCCCCGTAGCTCACCATTAGCACCTGGAAGGGGAAGGGAGGCAAGGAGACAATTTGAAGCAGAGGTGATCCCTATGGCATTTGACGTTAGATTTGACATTAAAAATCACATGCTGCTCTTGCTCTCTGCGTTATATTCTAAGGTGTATTGAACCTCGAGAGTAAACAGAAGCAATCCTATATAGTCACGTGTGCATACTTTTGCCTCTCCAGTAAGAGTGACCATATAAGCGTGAAGATAGGTGGTTGGGTGCTATAAGCCTATTTTGGAGTCGAATCAAAAGTAAGAGTGAAGACAGGTGGGCTTTAAGTCAACAAACCCACCACCACCCTGCATAACCCCAACTCTTGGAATCAAACGTCACGCTGATTTTGCATGGTGCTTTTGAGAATTACAAAAAACAACTGGAATCAAACCTCACCATGTATGCATAATCAGCCTTTAGTCCACGGCCCATTATGAAAAGCATTTTGAGTCGACTGAAAAGTCAATTGGAATCAAACCTCACCCTGCATACATCACCAGCCTTTAGTCCACAGCCCATTATATAAAGGCCGAGCTCCCAAGCATCATTCGAAGATCCAGAGCAAAACCAGACCAAGATCCCAAACCCAAACCAAGACCCCGAACCCAAATCGAGGCCCCGAACCCAAACCAAGACCCCGAATCCAAACCAAGACCCCGAACCCAAACCAAGACCCCGAACCCAAACCACCCCGAACTCAAGCCAAGACCCCGAACCCAAACCAAGACCCCGAATCCAAACCAAGACCCTGAACCCAAAACAAGACCCCGAGCCCAAACCAAGACCCCGAACCCAAACCAAGACCCCGAACCCAAACCAAGACCCCGAACCCAAACCAAGACCCCGAACCCAAACCAAGACCCCGAACCCAAACCAAGACCCCGAACCCAAGCCAAGACCCCAAACCCAAACCAAGCCCCCGAACCCAAACCAAGACCCCGAACCCAAGCCAAGACCCCAAACCCAAACCAAGCCCCCGAACCAAAACCAAGACCCCGAACCCAAGCCAAGACCCCAAACCCAAACCAAGGCCCCGAACCAAAACCAAGACCCCGAATCCAAACCAAGAACCAGAACCCAAGTTCAAGTCCCAGGGCCCACACACAAACCCAGACCGGAACTCGGACCCAGAACCCACCGACTTGCCAAAGATGGTTTGCTTTTGCATCGAAAGTCACCCCAGACACAAACCCAGACCGAATCCCAGACCCAGAACCCACCGACTTGCCAAAGATGGTTTGCCCGATGGGCTGGCCCAGCCGCTGCTGCTGGACGGACTCCTGCATTCCCTTCTGCGATGAGGAGGATAGTCGACAGGGGGACGGGAGGAGGGAGGAATAAAGGGGAGGGCAAACGAATAAGGCCATTTAAGGAGGGGTTGTCCCAGGCGCTGCTGCTGAAGGACGGACTCGTGCATTCTCTTCTGTGATGGGGATGAGGGGCGATAGGCAGGGCGGGAATGGGGCATGCAGGCGAAAAGAGGGGGGGGGGGGGCAAAAGAACGAGGCCATTTAAAATGGGCCATTAGATGGGGCAAAATAACAAGGATATTAGAGATGGGTCCCCGATCCCCAAGCCGCCACTGCTGGACGGGCTCCTGCACTACTTTCTGTGATGGGGATGATGGGAGAGGTGATAGGGGTGGGAGGGGGGCCGGTGTGGGGGGGGGGGGGGGAGGATGATAGACCCATCACACCACGTACCTGCTTTCTCAAAGGCGCCAAGGCGAGGTAGATGGCATGCTCCGCACAAGAGATGGCATGCTCCGCACAAGAGATGGCATGCTCCGCACAAGAGCCTCAAAACTAGACTCGGTATCCGCCCCTCTCTAATCCCCCTCTCTCAATTGCCGCTGCTTGTGACTCACCTGCTTCCTTAGCAGCTTCAACGCGAGTTTTGAGGCGCCTCAAAAGCTGCTTTCTTAGCAGCGCCAACGCGAGTTTTGAGGCGCCTCAAAAGCTGCTTCCTTAGCAGCGCCAACGCGAGGTAGATGGCATGCTCTGCACAGGACACAGCATTGCCCGTGTCTGCACTGGGTATTCGCTCCACTCGAATCCCCCTCTCCGTTGCTGCTGCCACGTCAACCCCCTCGAACCACCCCACCCCAAACTGCACTCTCTCAGCACAACAAGTACGCCCATCACAACACAGAGGACGTACCTGCTTCCTTAGAAGTGCCAGGGCGAGGTATATGGCATGCTCGGCGCAGGACACAGCATTGCCCGTGTCAGCACTCGGTATTCTCCCCACTCTGATCCCCCTCTCCGTTGCTGCTGCCACGTCAACCCCCTCCAAACCCACCCCAAACTGCACTATCAGCTGCAGCTTGGAAGCTTCTGCGATGGTTCCCGCGTCCAGGCGGGTCATCCGCGGCACGACGACGTGGCAGTCTCTGATTCGCCGAGGGATCTCGCCACGCGGGTGCCAGGAAACTTCCATGTTGGGCTCTTGGTGTAGCAGCTCGGCTGAGTAGGTGTAGGCTTCGGGGAACTCATCGCCACAGAAGAGCACCTTATAAAGGGTACAAGGAAGGGGTGTGTGCGTACAGGGGTTTTAGAGAAGAGTAGCAACGAGACAGCAGATCTTGGTGTAGCAGCTCGGCTGAGTAGGCCCAAGTCTTGGGGAACTCGTCGCCACAGAGAAGCACCTTTTAACGGGTACAAGGAGACAGCAAAGATAAGAATGATAGGTGAGCAAGGATCTGGAAAGGAGCTATGCTAACAATTTTTACAATGCAAAGGTAGGGCACGCAGGGGAGGGGCGAAGGACAGAGAAACAGAAGCGACAGCACACCTTGCCTGTGTAAGTTTGAACATTGTGGCGAGCGAGGGCCCTTCCCCCGCAGTCCTTCCCCTCTTTCCCTCCCCCTCCCTCCTCTTCCCCTCCCCTCTTCCCCCCCCCTCCTCCCTTTCCCGCTTCCCCTCCTCGCTTCCCCCTCCCCTCACCTTGAACTTTTCCCCTTCCGCCAACGGCTGGGAAGCTACAGCTGTCGCAGGTTCCGCGCCTCCCGCCTCCCCCCCTGCGCCCAGACTGCTGCCCGGAGCCATCCCAGTGGCGGTCGCGATGCCACGCAACGCTGACGTGGCTGCTGCTGACGTGGCATTGGCCGGCCGGGCGAGTACGGAGCGCGCTGCTTGTCGCAGAAAGCTAGTCGCAGGCGACATCCGGGGAAGGTTAACGATGCGACCTCGCAAGGGTGATACTGAAGGGAAGTCTTGTAAGGCTCGTTGTTCCAACGAGTATTGCTGCGATATAAGGAGCGACGTTATCGAGGCGGGCGTACGGCCTATCCGAAGCTCACGCGGTTGGTGCTACCAAGTGACTATAACGAGGCATGACAAAATAAGGGGTACAGCAATGGGTTTCAGCAGTTTTTTCGGATGCGGGTAGTATCGAACAGGCAGTGGGGCTCGGGAGCAGGGGACCGTGGATGCGGCACGCGAATGCGGCGTAGATGACACGTGAATGTCACGAGAATGGCACGTGGATGGCACGTGGAGGGAGGCGCGAGAGACGGGTTTCTGGGATGGTCAAGGTGGGCCCCCAGTGCGGTGCGAAGCCTGAGCGGGAGCTCTTAGGTGCTCCCTCTACCCTAGGATACAGGCGACAGCGTGGGGGCGAGACGGAGACGAAGCGATGGGGACGAGCCACTAGCGACCCGAATCTCGATAGGGCGCTGCCGAGGCGCAGATGATCAGGAATCTGGGAATGATCTGCTTGCCCGACAAACAAAGCTCCCGTTTAGTGTGCTTCGTTATTTTCGAAATGTCGTCTTCACTACACTTTTCCTCCCTTCAGCTTCAGCCTATGCGTGCTTATCGAAATGGCTGGCTGGATGCCGTTTTGTTCTCTTTCGGACATGTATAACCATTGCGGACAGACCACGCCATTGGTAAGAATCGCAGGACTGAAGGTGTTCGTCATCAAAACGAATTTCATTATAGGATGCACCAACACCGAACAAAGCGAAACACGCTATTGGCTGCCAATTCGCCACTCTACCGATACCCCCGTTATACCAACTGCTCTTTATTCCCTTGCTTGCTGAGCATTCTAGACAGCTCCCCTTAGCAAAAGCAGCTTTCTAGCTTCCTTTCCTACTCCTTAGAGAACTGTCCGCGCACGGCGCCATCAGGGTACCTCTTCGTGTGGATATTCCCATAGTGCGCGCTGGGGTCCTTGGAGATGGCCTTGAGCGCCGACAGCAGCGAGTCGGAGCGATCCTTTTTGTCCTTCCCGAGCGCGCCCTCGCAGCGCCACTCCTCGGCGCCCTTCTTCTCGTAGGTGCATGGCAGGTCCAGCAGCACGGGGTTGTTCTCGCCCTTCCTCCCTGGGTGCACGTGCGTCTTGATCGGTGGCATCTCGCCCTTCAGCCGGCTCGCCTTCACCGTGTACTTGACCCACTTGGCCTTGCCGTCCTCCCTGGCCGGACCGAGCCAGGGGTTTTCGTGGAAAATAGAGACGGAGGGAGTGAAATTAGTGCTGCAGCGCACGAGGAAAGCCGTGGACTTTGAACGACACGGTCGGAAGGGAAAGGGGAAATACGAAAACACATATTTCGAGGTGTTGAGGGTTGCGGTGAGGTAACAGATGGCGTTACTACTCGTAGTACTGCTTACTTGAAGATCTTCAGTTTCATGTACCACCACACCGCCACTGCGCATGTACAAGTAAGGTCAAATATATTGTGGTGTAGGAATGGGTGATGCTACTCACTTGTAGATGCGCAGCTTCATGTACACCACGCCGCGTTGGTCGCCGACGGCGTTCCTAGCAGCTTGGGAGTCATTCTTGGGAACCTCGTTGGCTCCCAGCAGCTTGGCCGAGTAGGTGTCTGTTGAGTCGAGCGCGAGGGGGATGTATGAGGGGGATGTATGAGGGAGATGTATGAGGGAGATGTATGAGGGAGATGTATGAGGGAGATGTATGAGGGAGATGTATGAGGGAGATGTATGAGGGAGATGTATGAGGGAGATGTATGAGGGAGATGTATGAGGGAGATGTATGAGGGAGATGTATGAGGGAGATGTATGAGGGAGATGTATGAGGGAGATGTATGAGGGAGGAATAGAGGGTTGGAGTGAGGAGATGAGGTGGTGCGAAGAGAGAAGAAAGATGGAAGAGGAAGGCGGTACATGATCCGACCAAGGGAATGAAAAATGTGGGAACGAAGGGAGCAAGGGAACAACGGGAACTGACCGACTTCCTCGTGATCGGCGAAGGCGATTGCGAGCATCGCCGCCAGGAATGCCGCTGCACACAACACATGCGACGGATCGAGTCCATGTACGGATTTCTATGTCGTCACAATAACGTGATAGTTTGTCGCCATGAAGCACATGGGGGATTGGCCACCAAGCAGTTGGCTTGTGAGAATCGATTGGAAGACCTATGAGTCCAATACTGCCGTTATTGTTGACGCTTACCTAAGACTAAGACGCGAGCTGGAGTGAAGGCCATGATTTTGAAGGCGGAGACGGTTCGGAGATCTGATTGGAGAAGGAAGTAGTAGTAGGCTGAAGATAGAAAATCGAATCACCCGGAATTATTTGCTTATCGCTAGAGTGACCCTGCTTTATAGCTCATTCGAGAGCCTCGGATGGAACAACCAGATGGGCGCGCCGCGGCAAGTTCAAGGCTGGTGGAAGAGGCTCAGACGGAGTGACTCCGATCGGGGGGCTCCCGGGAGGCTTAGACGGAGTGACGGTGATGCGGCCCGAGCCGGCCCGACTCGTCCGAGCCTGCATCTCACTCGCCATTCCACCCAGATCCTGATCCGCCTCAAATAATTGCGAACGTCGTAAGAATAGTGAGTCGAACTGCTGGTGCACCGATAATTGCGACACTGGGCCGTGCGCACAGCGCGGGTTGCTTGAGATGGACTCGATTCCGAAATCTTAGTAACGTATACGCCAGTACAGCACTAAAATTGTGATGACTATTGGGAGGCAATATGCGGGCGGCAGGTGTTGCGGTGGCTCTGTAGAGGAGCAAAGCAGCAGGAGTGGTGTGGTGAACAGATTCCCTGTGGCTGCTGCTTGTGGTGCTGCTGCTACTGGAAACAACACTCTACAGCGATGCCCAACAATAATTGTGACAGCAGCACCAATGGTGAGGTTGTGGAAGTTCCAAACCAACCTCTGCCTAGCGTACTGAAACGTTCTGAAACCAAGCATACAACCTCTGACCCCGTAACGGAGCCTCATGTTCGAGACATCTAGTCCTCGCTATAGATGTACCGTTCTGTTCAAGACAAAAATCACTATCGTACATATACTTGATGATTACTGGCTCGTCTATTTCTAATTGATCGTCTTGGGCATATAATTACAATAAGGATAGTGAAAAATATAGATGTAAATCGGGATTTTTTTGCCTTAATAGGCTAAATACCGAAATGTTTTGTTTTATTAGGGTAAGTCGGTCTATGTACAACGACTGTGTGAGGGATAGAAATGAACTCTTAGTGGAAAGCGGACTCATCACAGCGAATCACTTGTTTTCGGAGTTTGAATGTTTCCCGCTTTCATTCACCTCCGCCCGCTGCCACCAGAAACTGAACCACCCTTCCTCCCCCCTCATTTCCTCATCATCGTCATTCTCACGCTCTTGATTCCATCCCTCAACCATCATTCGCTTTCCTTCATTATTACCCTTCGTTCTACCGCGACTGCTTTCCTTCTCGCATACTTTGTTGCCGTGCTGGTGTCCTCAGCTCCATCTGCTCCTCAGTCTTTTTAACGTCCTTAGCTCGTCTGGCTTGTGACCAGCCTTGGTTTCATCAGCACAACGTCAGACCGAGCGTTGGTAACCCGTTCGATTAGTGGTAACTCGGTTGAACGAGAACATCCAGTCCAAAATGGCCGACGCGATGCAGACGGACGGCGGAGATGCGAAGCTGCCTGAGCTCAAACTCGGTGTGTGCCAGGCCTTTTCGGTCTAAGCGACAGAGACTTGGCCGTTTCGGTCTAAACGACATAGTCTTGGCCTTATCGGTCTAGTAGATGCAACCCTTTTGCGCTTCAGGTCAACACCTGCTGATTCCGTCGCGGTCTTGTTTTTGAGGCGCCTCAAAAATAGACTCCTAACACCTGCTGATTCCGTCGCGGTCTTGTGTGCGTGGAAGGAGGCATGGAGATGCTCCTTTGCATCTTGTCGGAAAAAGAATCATCATTCTTATACCTCTCCCGCGTCCTCTCGTCCCCCCATTCCGAACCCCGTCCACAGACGCGCGGCAAGCCCAAGGGTTCCTCTCCTTCTTCCGCTCGCTCCCGCCGGTACGAGCCTGTGTATAGTCAGGGGAGTCTGTTTTTAGGCTCCTCAAAAATAGACTTCTTCCAGTCCCTTCCGCCGGTACGAGCGTCTGCTCCTTCTTCTCCTGCTTATCGTCAGGGGAGTCAGACGACATATGCGGGAACATTAGCGTGCGTAGATGTAGGCATATCCTTGACAGGCACAAGCAGACAAGGGCAGACACACTAACACAGAACACTAGTCCAGACACTAACACAGACGCACAGACGCAAGGGTCACAGACGTAGTCCACTCCCCTCCCAGGCGCCTCACGCCATCCGTTTCTCCGACCGCCGCGACTACTACACGGTGCACGGCCCCTCAACCCTCACCTCTCCCCATTCCCCTCTGCATTCCACCCTCACCCTCACGCCATTCCCCTCGGCCTAACCTCCCATTGCCACTCCCAGGCGCCTCACGCCATCCGTTTCTCCGACCGCCGCGACTGCTCCACCGCGCACGGCCCCTGAACCACCCTCGCACCCCCTCCTCTCCCCACCCCCCTCCTCTCCCCACCCCCCTCCTCTCCCCACCCCCCTCCTCTCCCACCCCCTCCTCTCCCCACCCCCCTCCTCTCCCCACCCCCCTCACCATTCCCAGGCGCCTCAAAATAATCCGCTTCTGCGACCGCGGCGCCCCCAACACCATGCACGGCCCCTCAACCCCCGTTCCTTTCCTTTCCCCCCCACCTTTCAACCATCTTCCCCGTTTCTCTCTTCCCAGCGTGAGGAGTCTATTTTTGAGGCGCCTCAAAAATAGACTCCCAACTCAACACCGTGCACGGCCCCTCAACCCCCTTACCTTTTCCGTTTCGCCCACCTTTCAACCATCTTCCCCTTTTCTCTCTGCCCAGGCGCCTCAAACCATCCGCTTCTTCGACCGCCGCGACTACTACACGGTGCACGGCCCCGCCGCACTCTTCGTCGCGCGCGTCTTCTACAAGACGCTCTCCGCCCTGCGCTACCTCTCCGCGGGCGGAGCCAGCGCGGGCTCTTCCGCCGCTTCCGCCAGCGATGCCGCTGCGCTACCCAGCGTGAGCGTCAACCGCAGTATGTTCGAGTCCATCCTCCGCCACCTGCTCCTGGAGGAAGGGGGAGCCGGCGCAATGGGCGCAACGGGCGGAAGCGGAGCGGGGGGCAATGGCGGGGAGGGTGGCGGAGATGGCGGCGGTTCCAGCACAGGTGGCGGCGGGGGTGGGTATTCGACGGTGGAGCTTTACGAGGGCAGCGGCGCCAACTGGCGGCTCGCGCGGGCCGCCACGCCGGGGCGGCTGACTGCCTTCGAGGACGTGCTGTTCGCGACGCGGGACATGGGCGACTCGCCGACGGTGTGCGCCGTGATCGTCGCCGCGGCCGCGAAGGACGGCGAGCGGCGCGTGGGGCTGGCGTTTGTGGATCTGACGAAGCGCGCCCTGGGAATGACGGATTTCCTGGACGACGAGCAGTACACGTGTCTGGAATCGGCCCTCGTGGCGCTGAGCTGTCGCGAGTGCGTGGTCCCGCAGGAGGGGGGCGGCGGAAGCGGAGGGGGAGGGGGAGGGGGGGCGGAGAAGAAGGGGGGTAAGTCGCCCGAGGCGCGGAGATTAAGAGACGTAATGACGCGATGCAACGTGCTGATAGTCGAAAAGAAGCGGGCGGAGTTTAAACCGCGCGACATAGAGCAGGACTTAGGCAGGCTCCTAAGAACGGCGGGTAAGGCGGGGGGGAGATGCGCGGGCGCGACTGCAGGGGAGGCGGGTGGCGGGAGAAGGGGGAATGGTGGCGGATCGATAGGGGGGGCAACAGCAAGAGGAGGCTTAGGGGGGGGAGGAAGCCAAAAGGTTTCTGTTGAGTCTGAGATAGCCGGTGCGGCTATGGCGGCTGTACTCGCTTACACTGACCTGTTAGCAGACGATAGTAACTACGGCCGCTACACCCTCCTCCCCTACAGCCTCCACACGCACATGCGCCTAGACGCCACCGCTCTCCGCGCGCTAAACGTGACCGAATCCAAAACGGACGGAAATAGAAACTTTTCGTTAATGGGGCTTATGAACCGGACGTGCACGGCAGGCATGGGGAAGCGGCTGTTAAACCGGTGGTTGAAGCAGCCGCTGGTGGACGAAGAGGAGATTAAGTTCAGGTTGGATGTGGTGCAGGCGTTTGTGGAGAGTGCGGGTATGAGGCAGGAGGTGCGGGGGCACCTGAGGCGCATGCCGGACATAGAGCGGCTCACGAGACGGCTGGAGATGAGACGGGCTGGGCTGCAGGACGTGGTTAAGCTGTACCAGGTGAGGGGATGTAGCGGCTGTAGCAGGCTGGTCAGCAGGACGTGGTTAAGCTGTACCAGGTGAGCCCTGGGCTTCACGTCTTTCTCAAAACCATATCCTTATGCTTCGCGATTCTCTAAAAACGATGCCTCTCTCCCAGCATAGGGCCTCGTTATCTCATCCTTTTGCCTTGCTCTCCTCTGTTCCCTCACGTCTACACCACTGCCTTCCTTTCCTGTTTTAGTTGCCTTGCCTCTTATAGCCCACAACCCGTTCCGCCCTCCTCCCGCCCCCCCACCCTCCCGTCCCCCCATCCTCCCCTCCCCCCTTACAGGCCAGCATCCGCCTTCCTTTCATCCGAGAGGTGCTTGAAACCCACGGAGGCTCGTTCCGCCCGATGCTGCACGAGAGGTTCGGCGCGAGCCTGCTCGATTGGTGCGGATCGGAGCACTTAGCTAAGTACGAAGGTCTAGTGGAAGCAGCAGTAGATTTGGAGGCCCTGCAAACGAACGGCGAGTACTTAATAGCACCTGGTTACGATCCGAGTCTCGGGGAGATTAAAGAGGAGAGGGAGGTTGTAGAAGCCGAAGTGCAGAAAGCGTTACAGCAAGCAGCAAACGATTTAGGCCTTATAGTGGATAAAACGATTAAATTAGATAAGACGGCGCAGGCGGGGTACTGCTACAGGATAACAAAGAAGGAGGAGACGAATGTGAGAAAGAAGCTTAATGCGTCGTATGTGACTCTAGAGACGAGGAAGGACGGAGTTAAGTTCACTAATGCGAAGCTGAGGAGGCTGAGCGAGCGCCACGTGGCACTCACCGATTCGTACATGGCAGCACAGAGGGAGCTGGTCAGCAAAGTGGTGGAAGTGGCTCAGACGTTCATTGAGGTGAGCGATGGGTCTAGGGTTTGGGGTCTAGGGAAATGGTCTTGTGGCGTTTCAAAACTTGGTCCAGGGTTTGGGGTCTAGGGAAATGGTTTTGTGGCGTTTCAAAACTTGGTCCAGGGTTTAGTTGGGGTCTAGGGAAATGGTTTCGAGGCGCCTCAAAACTGGGTCTAGGGTTTGGGGTCCAGGGAAATGTTTCGAAACCGGGGCAGCAAGTCTTGTTTGCAGAATGTGATGAGACAGTCTTGCTACAGGGACTTACTCAACAATGCACCCACACGTACACACACATGTGGACACACACACACACACATGTGGACACACACACACACACATGTGGACACACACACACACACATGTGGACACACACACACACACATGTGGACACACACACACACACATGAGGACACACACACACACATGTGGACACACACACACACACACACACACACACACACACACACACACACACACACACATGTGGACACACACACACACACACACACACATACACACACATGTAGACACACACACACACACACATGTGGACAAACACTCACACGTGTGGACACACATACGCACACATGTGGACACATACAGACACATGTGGACACACACACACACACACACACACACAAACACATGTGGACACATACACACACATGTGGACACACACACAGACACACATGTGGACACACACACAGACACACATGTGGACACACACACAGACACACATGTGGACACACACACAGACACACATGTGGACACACACACAGACACACATGTGGACACACACACAGACACACATGTGGACACACACACAGACACACATGTGGACACACACACAGACACACATGTGGACACTCACACACACACATGTGGACAAACACTCACACATGTGGACACACATACGCACACTTGTGGACACATTCACACACATGTGGACACACACACACACACACACACACACATACACACACATGTAGACACACACACACACACACATGTGGACAAACACTCACACGTGTGGACACACATACGCACACATGTGGACACATACAGACACATGTGGACACACACACACACACACACACACAAACACATGTGGACACATACACACACATGTGGACACACACACAGACACACATGTGGACACACACACAGACACACATGTGGACACACACACAGACACACATGTGGACACACACACAGACACACATGTGGACACACACACAGACACACATGTGGACACACACACAGACACACATGTGGACACACACACAGACACACATGTGGACACACACACAGACACACATGTGGACACACACACAGACACACATGTGGACACACACACAGACACACATGTGGACACACACACAGACACACATGTGGACACACACACAGACACACATGTGGACACTCACACACACACATGTGGACACACACACACACATGTTGACACACACACACACACATGTGGACACATACGCACACACATGTGGACACACACACACACACACACACACACACATACACACTCATGTGGACGCACACACACACGTGTGGACACACACACACACATGTGGACACACACACACACACACACACATGTGGACACACACACACGTGGACAAACACTCACACATGTGGACACACATACGCACACTTGTGGACACATTCACACACATGTGGACACACACACACACACACACACACACATACACACACATGTAGACACACACACACACACACATGTGGACAAACACTCACACGTGTGGACACACATACGCACACATGTGGACACATACAGACACATGTGGACACACACACACACACACACACACACAAACACATGTGGACACATACACACACATGTGGACACACACACAGACACACATGTGGACACACACACAGACACACATGTGGACACACACACAGACACACATGTGGACACACACACAGACACACATGTGGACACACACACAGACACACATGTGGACACACACACAGACACACATGTGGACACACACACAGACACACATGTGGACACACACACAGACACACATGTGGACACACACACAGACACACATGTGGACACACACACAGACACACATGTGGACACACACACAGACACACATGTGGACACACACACAGACACACATGTGGACACACACACAGACACACATGTGGACACACACACAGACACACATGTGGACACACACACAGACACACATGTGGACACACACACAGACACACATGTGGACACACACACAGACACACATGTGGACACACACACAGACACACATGTGGACACACACACAGACACACATGTGGACACACACACAGACACACATGTGGACACTCACACACACACATGTGGACACACACACACACATGTTGACACACACACACACACATGTGGACACATACGCACACACATGTGGACACACACACACACACACACACACACACATACACACTCATGTGGACGCACACACACACGTGTGGACACACACACACACATGTGGACACACACACACACACACACACATGTGGACACACACACACGTGGACAAACACTCACACATGTGGACACACATACGCACACTTGTGGACACATTCACACACATGTGGACACACACACACACACACACACACATACACACACATGTAGACACACACACACACACACATGTGGACAAACACTCACACGTGTGGACACACATACGCACACATGTGGACACATACAGACACATGTGGACACACACACACACACACACACACAAACACATGTGGACACATACACACACATGTGGACACACACACAGACACACATGTGGACACACACACAGACACACATGTGGACACACACACAGACACACATGTGGACACACACACAGACACACATGTGGACACACACACACAGGACACACACAAACCATGTGGACACACACACAGACACACATGTGGACACACACACAGACACACATGTGGACACACACACAGACACACATGTGGACTGGACACACACACAGACACACATGTGGACACACACACAGACACACATGTGGACACACACACAGACACACATGTGGACACACACACAGACACACATGTGGACACACACACAGACACACATGTGGACACACACACAGACACACATGTGGACACACACACAGACACACATGTGGACACACACACAGACACACATGTGGACACAAGCAGGTGTATTTTGCACCGTCTTGAGTTTGCATGATTGATGTCCCCTTGAGCAGGTGTTTGTTGCACTCACACATGAGAACACAAGCAGGCGTTCGAGGGTGTGGCGTCATTGATAGCAGAAATGGATGTGCAGCAGGGCGTTGCTGTATTCAGCTCAGCACCATCAGCTCAGCCCTCGGTGTTTGCACACACACGTTGCGAACACCTCGCCCTCGGTGTTTGCACACACACGTTGCGAACACCTCGCCCTCGGTGTTTGCACACACACGTTGCGAACACCTCGCCCTCGGTGTTTGCACACACACGTTGCGAACACCTCGCCCTCGGTGTTTGCACACACACGTTGCGAACACCTCGCCCTCGGTGTTTGCACACACACGTTGCGAACACCTCGCCCTCGGTGTTTGCACACACACGTTGCGAACACCTCGCCCTCGGTGTTTGCACACACACGTTGCGAACACCTCGCCCTCGGTGTTTGCACACACACGTTGCGAACACCTCGCCCTCGGTGTTTGCACACACACGTTGCGAACACCTCGCCCTCGGTGTTTGCACACACACGTTGCGAACACCTCGCCCTCGGTGTTTGCACACACACGTTGCGAACACCTCGCCCTCGGTGTTTGCACACACACGTTGCGAACACCTCGCCCTCGGTGTTTGCACACACACGTTGCGAACACCTCGCCCTCGGTGTTTGCACACACACGTTGCGAACACCTCGCCCTCGGTGTTTGCACACACACGTTGCGAACACCTCGCCCTCGGTGTTTGCACACACACGTTGCGAACACCTCGCCCTCGGTGTTTGCACACACACGTTGCGAACACCTCGCCCTCGGTGTTTGCACACACACGTTGCGAACACCTCGCCCTCGGTGTTTGCACACACACGTTGCGAACACCTCGCCCTCGGTGTTTGCACACACACGTTGCGAACACCTCGCCCTCGGTGTTTGCACACACACGTTGCGAACACCTCGCCCTCGGTGTTTGCACACACACGTTGCGAACACCTCGCCCTCGGTGTTTGCACACACACGTTGCGAACACCTCGCCCTCGGTGTTTGCACACACACGTTGCGAACACCTCGCCCTCGGTGTTTGCACACACACGTTGCGAACACCTCGCCCTCGGTGTTTGCACACACACGTTGCGAACACCTCGCCCTCGGTGTTTGCACACACACGTTGCGAACACCTCGCCCTCGGTGTTTGCACACACACGTTGCGAACACCTCGCCCTCGGTGTTTGCACACACACGTTGCGAACACCTCGCCCTCGGTGTTTGCACACACACGTTGCGAACACCTCGCCCTCGGTGTTTGCACACACACGTTGCGAACACCTCGCCCTCGGTGTTTGCACACACACGTTGCGAACACCTCGCCCTCGGTGTTTGCACACACACGTTGCGAACACCTCGCCCTCGGTGTTTGCACACACACGTTGCGAACACCTCGCCCTCGGTGTTTGCACACACACGTTGCGAACACCTCGCCCTCGGTGTTTGCACACACACGTTGCGAACACCTCGCCCTCGGTGTTTGCACACACACGTTGCGAACACCTCGCCCTCGGTGTTTGCACACACACGTTGCGAACACCTCGCCCTCGGTGTTTGCACACACACGTTGCGAACACCTCGCCCTCGGTGTTTGCACACACACGTTGCGAACACCTCGCCCTCGGTGTTTGCACACACACGTTGCGAACACCTCGCCCTCGGTGTTTGCACACACACGTTGCGAACACCTCGCCCTCGGTGTTTGCACACACACGTTGCGAACACCTCGCCCTCGGTGTTTGCACACACACGTTGCGAACACCTCGCCCTCGGTGTTTGCACACACACGTTGCGAACACCTCGCCCTCGGTGTTTGCACACACACGTTGCGAACACCTCGCCCTCGGTGTTTGCACACACACGTTGCGAACACCTCGCCCTCGGTGTTTGCACACACACGTTGCGAACACCTCGCCCTCGGTGTTTGCACACACACGTTGCGAACACCTCGCCCTCGGTGTTTGCACACACACGTTGCGAACACCTCGCCCTCGGTGTTTGCACACACACGTTGCGAACACCTCGCCCTCGGTGTTTGCACACACACGTTGCGAACACCTCGCCCTCGGTGTTTGCACACACACGTTGCGAACACCTCGCCCTCGGTGTTTGCACACACACGTTGCGAACACCTCGCCCTCGGTGTTTGCACACACACGTTGCGAACACCTCGCCCTCGGTGTTTGCACACACACGTTGCGAACACCTCGCCCTCGGTGTTTGCACACACACGTTGCGAACACCTCGCCCTCGGTGTTTGCACACACACGTTGCGAACACCTCGCCCTCGGTGTTTGCACACACACGTTGCGAACACCTCGCCCTCGGTGTTTGCACACACACGTTGCGAACACCTCGCCCTCGGTGTTTGCACACACACGTTGCGAACACCTCGCCCTCGGTGTTTGCACACACACGTTGCGAACACCTCGCCCTCGGTGTTTGCACACACACGTTGCGAACACCTCGCCCTCGGTGTTTGCACACACACGTTGCGAACACCTCGCCCTCGGTGTTTGCACACACACGTTGCGAACACCTCGCCCTCGGTGTTTGCACACACACGTTGCGAACACCTCGCCCTCGGTGTTTGCACACACACGTTGCGAACACCTCGCCCTCGGTGTTTGCACACACACGTTGCGAACACCTCGCCCTCGGTGTTTGCACACACACGTTGCGAACACCTCGCCCTCGGTGTTTGCACACACACGTTGCGAACACCTCGCCCTCGGTGTTTGCACACACACGTTGCGAACACCTCGCCCTCGGTGTTTGCACACACACGTTGCGAACACCTCGCCCTCGGTGTTTGCACACACACGTTGCGAACACCTCGCCCTCGGTGTTTGCACACACACGTTGCGAACACCTCGCCCTCGGTGTTTGCACACACACGTTGCGAACACAAGCAGGGGGTTGAGGGCGTGGCATCACGGACAACAGTAATGGATGTGCTTCAGGGCTTTTCTGTATTCAGCAGGGCTTTTCTGTATTCAGCAGGGCTTTTCTGTATTCAGCAGGGCTTTTCTGTATTCAGCACCATGCCCTCGCCTCGCCCCCGTCTTTGCATACACACATGCCAGCACAAGCAGGTGGTTGAGCATGTGACGTCACTGGTTTTGAGGCGCCTCAAACTTAACTGTTTGCCTCACATGGCTTGGCGTCACATGCTTAACCGCCCCTGCCGTCCAGGTGTTTGAGGGCGTGGCATCGCTGATCGCAGAAATGGATGTGCTTCAGGGCTTTGCAGAGCTTGCAGCTTCGGCACCAACGCCCTACGTCCGACCCTCCATCTCAGGCCCGGTACGAGCGTCAATCACCGGCTCGGTAGAAATACATGGATCCTCCTTGCACCAATGGAAAGAGTTTCTGCCTGGTTGTTTCCATGGCTCCATCCTTGTCCTTGCACAGGTTTAGTCCCCATCTTCATGCCGCTTTTTTTTAGGCGCCTCAAAAATCTTCATGCCGCTTTTTTTGAGGCGCCTCAAAAATCTTCATGCCGCTTTTTTTGAGGCGCCTCAAAAATCTTCATGCCGCTTTTTGACTGCTCACTTGTTCCCTCCCCGTTCTCGCTTTCCCGTGTTCGCATGTCACATGGCACATGCCATATATTGCATGTCACATGGCACATGGCACATGTCATGTATTGCATGGCTCGTGTTGCATGGCTCATGGCGTGGCATGGCATGGCATGACATGGTATGGCATGGTATGGCATCAGGATGAGGGCGACATAGTGTTGGAGGACAGCCGCCACCCATGTGTGGAGGTGCAGGATGACGTCAGCTTCATTCCCAATCACTGCCGCCTGGTATGCACCTGCCGCCTGGTATGCATCTGGTAATGAAACGACTAAAGTGGAGTAATTTTTTATATATATAAATCTCTAAAGAATGCGCCTGGAAATGAGATGACTTCCGTTGTGGTAGAGGCGAATTAAATTTGAAACGTCGCATCCGCTTCATCAGCCATGCAGCATCCATGATTCACCGAGACGTGATAGTGTGCGATGAAAATGATGCCTCCTCCTTTTTGAGGTGCCTCAAGTAAAAAAATCTCCTTTTTGAGGCGCCTCAAGAAACGTGATAATGTACGATGAAAATGATGCCTCCTACATTCGTTGCCCGACTTCTCTTTATTACCGTCCACTGTCCACACTTGCTCTTCCTTCTGGTAACTCCGTTTCTCACCCATCACCCCATCATCACCAGGCGAGAGAGGTCGCAGCTGGGTTCAGCTGTGGGTCGCAGCTGGGTTCAGATCACACAGGTGACTTTTGAGACGACTTTTGAGTTACTTTTGAGTCGACTCAAAAGTCACCTTCAGATCAAACATGGGTGGTGAACCATGCCTCCACGCCTCTCCCCTCCCCCCCTGTCGTTAGTCTCGCCTAGCACAATACATATACCCATGCCATCCATGCCCCACTCTTCTCCCCATCACACCAGGAGAGGGATCGCAGCTGGTTTCAGATCATCACGGGGCCCAACATGGGTGGCAAGTCAACGTATATACGGCAGGTATGTAAAAAAAATGTTGTATCATTATGCTGCTCAGTTACATTTCCCGTGCCCCTGTGTGCCAGGATGTCCTGCTTTTTTTCTCTCCTGTTTTATATGCATATTTGTTTATTCATTTGCTTGTTTGTTTTGCCCTTTTTTTGTCACAGGTGGGCGTGGTCGTCTTGATGGCGCAAGTGGGCTCCTTCGTCCCTTGCTCCCGTGCTCACGTCAGCATCAGAGATGCCATTTTTGCCCGTGTGGGCGCTGGGGATTGCCAGGTGAGGTGGGGGAGGAGAAGGGGGGCCATAAGCGTTAGGACGAGCAGCAGCGATGATTTTTTAGGCGCCTCAAAAATAGGACCAGCAGCAGCGATGATTTTTCAGGCGCCTCAAAAATAGGACGAGCAGCAGCGATGAATTCTTTTGTGCAAAAGAGTAACAGTAGATGCAGTGATACCCCGGTTTAAAGCGCGAGAATTTGAAGTTTCAAACTCAACTCCACTAGAAGATTAAAACGCAAACTAGTTTCGGCTGACCGGGACAGGCCCCAAATCAGACCACCATCAGTGCTGGTGGAATGCCAATGTGGCCACTGGGGATTGCCAGGTGAGGTGGGGGTGTAGGAGGGAGGGGGGGTGGGGGGAAATCAAAACTTTTGATTCCTGCTGGAAACAGTGGCCATCCTGCATTCCTCCCACATACTCACTTGCGTTTCTTTGTCCTACTCTACTCGTCTCCCTCCCCTGCCCGTGTCCCCACCTAGCTGCGAGGTGTGAGCACCTGCATGGCCGGGTATGTTTGAGAAACTTCATAATCGCTGCAAAATCGAGAATACCCTGCGAAATCGCGGTGGGAGCAACCGCATGGCGGAGATGCTCTACCACGCCTATTTTTCCATCCGAACCGTTCCCCACCCCTATCTTCACCCTTCTGGGGTTGCCCCGTGCTCCCCTTCGTGACTCGTCTCTTGCAGCTGAGGGGTGTGAGCACCTTCATGGCTGAGTGAGATGCTCGACACAACAGCCGCCATCCTGCATTCCGCCATGCTTACTCACTCCAATTACCTCCCCTCCCTTCATTCCCACCTTGGTTTGCTCCATCCCTTGCAACTGCGTGGAGTGAGCAATTGCATGGCTGAGATGCTCGAAACAGCTGCCATCCTGCATGCCGCCATGCTCACTCCCCTGTCTTTATCACACGCTGCTCCCTCCCTGCCCACCTTGCAGCTGAGGGGAGTGAGCACCTTTATGGCTGAAATGCTCGAAACCGCCGCCATCCTCCATGCCGCCACGCCGCAGTCGCTCGTTATAATCGACGAGCTGGGAAGGGGGACGTCAACTTACGACGGATTCGGTGAGCGCAGTGCGGTGCAGTGCGTTCCACTGAGTATCACCGGTCCATCACGCCGCCACGCCGCAGTCGCTCGTCATAATCGACGAGCTGGGAAGGGGGTCACAGGCGATGGCTTTAGAGAGTTCACTGAATCACTGCACTGCACGGCACCCACAATGGCTTCGGTGATTGTCTCGCTTTGGCTATCTTGTGAGTCGACTCAAAAGTCAGCTCGTTACAATGTCACACGGAACTTTCTCCTGTTGCTCCCACCAGCCCCCTCACATCAGGCCTCGCCTGGGCCATCTTCGAGCATCTAGTGGACGTCACTAGGGCGCCCACCCTCTTCGCCACGCACTTCCACGCGCTCACTGCCCTTGATACCGGGGATGCTTCCAGCGGTGTGGCCAACTTTCGCAAGCTCACTGCTCTGGAGTCTGTGGTCTTCCTCTTGGCTTGCTCCCCTCTCCCGCCTGTTGCTCCCACCAATCCCCCTCACATCAGGCCTCGCTTGGGCCATCTGCGAGCATCTAGTGGACGTCACTAGGGCGCCCACCCTCTTCGCCACGCACTTTCACGAGCTCACTGCCCTTGAGACCCGGGATGCCTCCAGCGGTGTGGCCAACTTCCACGTCAGCGCACACATCGACGAAGCTTCCAGGAAGCTGACCATGCTGTACAAGGTATGTGTTCTAGCACTGTGCTCAGGTTAACTCTTCTTGTTCCTGCTACTTCAGGTTCCTTCATGCTTCCTGCCAAGTACATTTTGCTCTTGGCGCCCCATAGTTGTTCACTTGCTTCTTGAGGTGCCGTAAAACAATTGCGCTACCACTGATCAAACCCCTCCTTATAACCTGATAGCTCTGTATCAGTGTTTTCTTATAACATGCTCTTTAATGTAGATGAATCTCCTTTCCCAGGTGCGATTTGGTCCATTTGACCAGAGCTTTGGCATTCATGTGGCGGAGTTTGCTCTCTACCCACTCTTTTTCAAGCATGTCCCTCCTTCTGTCGCTTGTTTCACCTCCCCCAGGTGCAACCCGGCCTTCGTGATCAGAGCTTTGGCATTCATGTGGTGGAGTGTGCTCACTTCTCGCCCCTAGTAAACCGTTCCCCCCTCCCTCGTATTGTACTGTCGCTCGTCTCACCCCTGCCAGGTGCAGCCCGGCCCTTGTGACCAGAGCTTTGGCATTCATGTAGCGGAGTTTGCTCACTTCCCCCCTGAGGTGGTGGCCATGGCCCGGGCCAAGGCGCAGGAACTGGAAGACTTTGCTCCGCCTGCTGCTAATGCTGGTGGTGCTGGTGGTGATGGAGCGGGTGCTGCTGATGCTGGTGAGGGTGCTGGTGGTGCAGCTGGTGGTGGTGGTGGTGGTGCTGCTGGTGGTGGTGGTGCTGCTGCAGGAGCGAAGCGTAAGCGGGACGGAGGGGAGGAGCAGAGGGAGGGGGTGGGGCGAGCACGGCAGTTTCTGCGGGAGTTTGCATCGCTGCCTCTTGACACGATGACAGCAGAAGACGCCCTGAGAGCTGTAGCAGCGCAGGTGAAGGCCCTGGAGGGAGATGCGGAGGGGAACGAGTGGCTCAGATCCCATCTTCTGTCATCTAAAGCTGCTTGAAGGTCATCTGGGGGTTTGCGTCGCTGCCTCTCTGCACAATGGCAGTAGAGGGCGCTCTGATGGCTGTGCCAGCACAGGTGATGGCCCCAGAGGGAGATGCGTTGGGAAGCGAGAGGTGATATGCGGAGGGGATGTTTTTTTTCCTCGCCAAGGTGGCAGCAGTGGCTTGGCAGCTGAAGGCTATGGAGAGGATGCTCAATGAAATGAGCGGGTTAGAGCACAACTGCTGTGTAGAATTAGAGGTGGTTTTGTCTTATGTCTTCTGTTGTTCTTTTATTCAGTTTAAATTTGTACGCTTTCAGTTTAATCGTCAAAACATAAGTTCAGCTTGCGACACCATGGAGCACTCTTTACGCGAACAAACTCGCAGCTCACACCAGGCCCTCGGCGCAATGTCGCAATTATTCATCCTCATTGATAGTTCCTAGCTGCCCTGCATGTGACTACTGCTTCTTGTTCGCGTCGCGACACGAATTTAGATAAGGACAAAAGAGTATAATTGTACGGTTGAATAGGACAAGAGTGCAATAGTAGAACTGTAGCGCATATATATGGGATTATAATATGCTTGTAAGAAATACGGGAAAGGTACTCAAGCGAGTAAAAAGAGACTTGTCTAGGGAGAGATGCTTTTGAAGGGTGAAAGACTTACTTATGTGTGACTTACAAAATTGAAAAGTTGTAGGATCTTGGTAGTGGTTCTTGATAGAGGAGGACTTGCACTTGGAAAGGATCTTGAGCTTGGGAGAAGACGACAAGCTTGGGAGGAGACCACAAGCTCGAGGAGAGATCACAATCTTGGATGTGGTTGAAGGAGAGGGTCTTGTACTTAGAAGAGTGAAGGTGCCACAAGGTTGAGTGTTGAAGAAGATGATCTTCCTACAAGCTTGTGACTTGGTGATGCATCTTATGTCAACTTATACATATTAGCTATATAGAAGTTATAGGCTAGACTGAGGTATGCTTCTAGTGAGTACAACCAACTAGTATTTGTTCTAGGTTTCAACTTCTAGTCAACCATTCAGTTCTTACTTTAACATGGTATCACGTGTAGGTTAGCATCCCCCACCTACCGCTTCCGCCCGTACCCTAGCTAGGCCCCGCCGCGCCCCCCCCCCCCCCCCCCCCCCCCCCCCCCCCGGGGCCCCGTCGCGCCTCCTAGCCCCGTCGCGCCCCTCCTGGGCCCCGTCGCGCCTCCTAGCCCCGTCGCGCCCCTCCTGGGCCCAGTAGCGCCTCCTAGCTCCGTGGCGCCCCTCCTGGGCCCCGTCGCGCTTCCTAGCCCCGTCGCGCCCCTCCTGGGCCCCGTCGCGCCTCCTAGCCCCGTCGCGCCCCTCCTGGGCCCACTCACGCCCCTCCTGTGCCCCGTCGCGCCTCCTAGCGCCCCTCCTGGGCCCCGTTGCGCCTCCTAGCCCTGTCGCGCCCCTCCTGGGCCCCGTCGCGCCCTGCCTGGCCCCGTTGCGCCCGCTAGGCCCCGTCGCGCCCGCCTGGCCCCGTCGCGCCTTGCCTGGCCACGTCGCGCCCTGCCTGGCCCCGTCGCGCCTGCCTGGCCCCTCCGCGCCTGCCTGGCCCTGCCGCACCTGCCTGGCTCCGCCGCGCCTGCCTGGCCCCGCCGCGCCTCCCTGGCCCCGCCGCGCCTGCCTGGCCCCGCCGCGCCTCCCTGGCCCCGCCGCGCCTGCCTGGCCCCGCCGCGCCTGCCTGGCCCCGTCGCGCCTGCCTGGCCCCTCCGCGCCGGCCTGGCCCTGCCGCGCCGGCCTGGCCCCGCCGCGCCTGCCTGGCCCCGCCGCGCCTGCCTTGCCCCGCCGCGCCTGCCTGGCCCTGCCGCGCCTGCCTGCCCCCGCTGCGCCTGCCTGGCCCCGCCGCGCCTGCCTGGCCCCGCTGCGCCTCCCTGGCCCCGCCGCACCAGCCTGGCCCCGCCGCGCCTGCCTGGCCCCTCCGCGCCTGCCTGGCCCCGCCGCGTCTGCCTAGCCACTCCCACTACCCGCCCGGCCCATCTTCGTGCCTCCTCGTTCTGCCGTGCCACCTCAGGCTGCGTCTACTCTGCTCGCTAGTGCTGGGGCGCCTCGCGGCCGCCGTGCTGGAGAGTGCTGCCGCCGTGTCCCTGCGTCGCTGTGTTCCTGTGGAGCTGTGCCGCTGACCCTGCACGATGGCTGGCTTCGTGCTCCAACTGGACGCCGAGGGCCATGCGGTTGACTTTGCCGCCTGGCTCCCCGATCTCCGCCGCCACCTTATAGGTCAGCGCCAGGATGGCCACTCTTTGGTTGTCCATGTCGATGGCTTGCTCCCCCGCCCCCCTGCCCTTGCTCCCCTCCCTGCCGATCCCACCTCTGATGACCGTGAGGCCTTTTCTACTGCTGCGGTTGCGTGTGCGGTCTGGGACTCCCGCGATGCAGTAGCTCAAGCTACTATTAGTCACGCCCTCCCTATGTCCGAGCGCTCGCATTTTGCTACTGTTGAGACGGCCAAAGCTTACTTAGATACCGTTATTGCTCGCTATTCCACACCTGCATCTGCCTCTGCGGGCCGCTTGCTCTTCCCGATGCTGTTCCCAGACCTTGCAGCATTCCCTACCGTCGCAGACTTTGCCACTCACCTGCGTGCCCTAGAGACCCGCTATCGCACTGCCAGCACTGCTGCCCAACTCACTGCGCTCCCCCCCCTTTCTGCATGACGCTCTATTTTATCGCCATGCGCCTGCCAGACCGCCTCGCTAGTGCTCGCGATCACTTCCTTAGCCAGCACCCGGGTGACCTCACCCTCACCGCCTTTGTCGACACTCTCACCGAGATCGAGACTCGTCAGCGCACTATCTCTCAGCCGAGCGGTGCGCCGGCAGTCTCTATCTTTCACGGCTGTGCCCCCTCCCAGTGCACGTTCACTGACGTTTCGGCTGCGGTCGCCTGGCTGGCCCGGCACCTCCGGAGGTAGTGGCCGTGGTGGCGGCCTGCGCAGCTTGGCGTCTACCGGCGGCTCCGGTTGCTGTCACCTGCCAGTACCAGCTTCAGACCGGGCCTCTTCGCTGCACTCTGTACCACCGCCCGCACCCGCCGCCCGCTGTTTCCGCCGCCTCGACGATCTCTTTCGTCGTCGCTTTGGCCCGGCCCCGGACCTCCCCGAGTGGCACAGCCTGCTCCGGCAGGGCGTGCCGATCTTTGAGTTAGACATGGATCAGATAGGTGCTGCTTTGCATGCTTTGTATTCTGACGCTTCTAGTGTTGCTGGATCTTATTACCCTGTGTACTCCAGTTTAGGTGTTGCACCCTTGTGTAGCTTAGCCTCCCTGCTGCGTCCGGCGTAGGACTGCCTAGCTTGCCTAGTCGAGTCGCTGCACCGGCTCCGTCCCCGGCCTCCGCCACCGCTCGCCGATGTCTCCCCCACCGCCTGCTGACCTTCCTATCTACGGTCCTGTGTTCCCGCCGCCAGACTCGTCTGCGGCCCGTCTTCCTCCTCGTTCCCCTCCTGTTCCCTCCGCTGTCCCCTGCCCTACCCTCCGTCCCACGTTTGGTCTCGCCGTCCCTCCCGTGCTCGTCCCGTCTCTCCTGTCCTGTGCTCCACCCTATGTTGCTCCGTTACCACTCGTCTCGTCCTCCCTCCTCCCGTCCCCTCCTCCCTCGTCCCTTGCTGTTGCACCTCCTCCGTTCTCAGGACTACCTCCGTGCCGCTCGTCCCTTGTCCCTCGGGTCCTTGCCTCTCTTGTTACCGACCCTGCTGTTCCTGTCTCGCGCCTTGACGCTCTTGTCGCTGCTGTCGCTGACTTCGCCTCTACCCGCCGCCTTGACTACGCTACGCTCTGGTCTCTGACCCTGCCCGTCCTCCGTCCGTCGGGGGTGCTCCTGCCTTGGCAATGACGTCCTAGAGGACAGACAGTATGAGCTTGCTTTCCTTTCCGAGGCTGCTCCCATCTCTGCTCCATGCTGTTAGTCCCTGAGGGTGACCCAGACGCCTTCGACATCCCGACCCCTCGCACCTACGCTGAGGCCACCTCGGGACCTTGGGCCTCTCAGTGGATAGCTGCCATGGAGCAGGAGATGGCATCTTGGAGGTCCACCGGCACTTACGTCGACGCAGTTCCCCCGCCTGGGGTGAACGTAGTCGATGGTCGGTGGCTTTCAAGGTGAACGCCCCCCTGGAGAGCCGCCTGTCTTCAAGGCGCGCTACGTGGCCAGAGGTTTCAGTCAGCGAGGGGTTGACTTCTTCCAGACCTTCGCCCCGACCCCGAAGATGACCACTCTTCGGGCGCTGCTACACGTAGCAGCACAGAGCGACTACGAGCTTCACTCCCTCGACTTCTCTACTGCCTTTCTTCAGGGCAGCCTACACGAGCAGGTCTACCTGCGCCGACCACAGGGCTTCACTGGTACCTTCCCTCCTGGGACCCAGTGGCTTCTCAGGCGCCCGGTCTACGGCCTGCGTCAGGCTCCTCGCGAGTGGCACGACACGCTGCGGCCACGTTAGCAGACCTGCAGTTCTTTCCGTCCTCTGCTGACCCTCGTTGTTTGTGCGTTCCGGCCAGACTCCGTTCTACATCCTTGTCTACGTAGACGACCTGGTCTTCGCTACTGCTGACAGGGACGCACTGGCCTCTGTGAAGGCCGAGCTCTGAAGAGACACACCTGCACTGACCTTGGAGAGCTGCGTCGCTATCTTGGCCTGCAGATCTCTAGGGACAGAGCAGCACGCACCATCACTCTGACACAGTCACACTTGGTGCGTCAGGTCCTTCAGAGGTTCGGTCTTCAGTTCTCCTCCGCACAGCCCACACCTCTACCTGTAGACCATGGGCTCCCGCTCCCGTTCCTGAGGAGCCAGTAGAGCCCAGTGGCCCCTACGCAGAGCTGGTGGGTTGCCTCATGTACCTGATGACTTGCACTCGCCCAGATCTCGCATACCCTCTCAGCATCCTGGCTCGCTTTGTGGCTACAGGCAGACACCGACCTCAGCACTGGTCTGCCGCTAAGAGGGTTTTGCGTTATCTTGCTAGTACATCGGGCATGGGGTTAGTGCTAGGAGGACGCAGGCCAGTGGTCCTTACTGGGCACACAGACGCTTCTTGGGCAGACGACTCTGAGACGCTCAGGTCGTCGCAGGGCTACTGTTTTAGCCTTGGTTCGGGTGCTATCTCTTGGAGATCCACTCGCTCGTCGTCTGTGGCTCAGTCTAGCTGTGAGGCTGAGATCTACGCTGGTGCCATGGCGGCACAGGAGCTCCGCTGGCTGACCTTCTTGCTCACAGACTTAGGTGAGCGGCCTAGCTCTGCCCCGGTCCTGTACGCTGACAAAGGGCCATGATACTCCTGTGTCAGGAGCCTCGGCTTGAGGGCAGAGCGAAGCATATCCAGC